TAACTTCTTTATTCTTAAACATTAATGACTGTTACACCATGGTTATTTTGTTTTAAGAATAAATACATGGTTAAAAATAAATAGAGAGAGAGAGAGAGAGAGAGAAAAAGAAAGGATGGAACAATCAATGGAGTGGAGAGCGTGGGGTGGAGAGGGTGAGGGAAAGCAAGATAGCCAGCAAATACTCTTCAAGATGAATGAAAAGCAAAAAAGAAAAGAAGAAAGATAACACAAAAAGTTCTTATTTAACCGAAAAAAAGAACACCAATAATAATAATAGTAATAATAGAGAGAAAGCAGAAGTATATACACTCATGTATCTAGAGAATATATATATATATATGCCATATTGTAGAGACAAGGAAATGAAAAAAAAAGACGTAGAGTAGAAAAAAAAAAGTAGTAAATATACTACAAAAATAATTCTGAAAATGGAACGCCACAATAAACACAAGATTCACAAGATTTATCAGGATGTTCAAGAAACTCAAGAGAACCATCATTTGAATTTATTCGTTTTGAACTAAAAAGAACTGTTTTTCCAAAATTTTTTGTACCTGGTAAAGAATTATATTGATAACCATGTTCTACACCAAGATGTAATACTTTGCTAGCATCAGGTGATAAATGAGCTACAAAAGAGTACATTAAATTTTTTCCTGAAAATAAATGCCAATGAGCTTCAAGACAATCTATACCACATCTTTCTTTACATGCATATACTCTTCCATGTGTCATTCGTCGCAATGTATAGTGACGTCCTTCAAAAAGTGAATTTCTTATCCTACCAGTATTTAATAATGTTCGTCTAGATATTTCTTTTAAATGTTCCACCGATTTAAAATCATCTTGATTAAATAAATCATTAGATGAAGAAAATTTTTCTTCATTAAATCCTTTTTGACGTTCTTCTGCATCTCGTCGTATTTCTTGAAGAATTGCTTCTCGTCTCTCTTCCGTTTTTTCATTTGCTCGAGATTCAAGAGGTAAAGGATGAAATAAAATCTTTTTATTTTTTACTTCTTCTATTTTTTCTTCAATTCTAGAAAGAAAACGATCAGAAGTTTTTATTTTTTCTTTATCACCATCAAAGACATAAATTGGTTCTGAATCAGAATTTTTTTGAAGTTTATATCCTATACTATTAAATAAGGAATCCACTACAGAATCTGGTATTTGAGTCAAGATATTACGAATAAAATTATTCTCCTTACGAACAATTTGAAATTTTGGGTTATCAGGATCTAATAAAAGATTTGCCAAAAGTCGACGATATACAAGAGAAATCGCCTTTTCAAGTGCTTCCGGTGAGCACTGCTCTACAATTACATTCACTTCATCCTTACACATGAACACTAAAGAGAATAATACAAGAAATAATAAAGAAGAAGAGCAAGAAAAAGAAAAAGGAGAGAATGATAAAAAAAAATAAAGGCAAAAAGAATAGAATAAAATGGGGGGTCAGTAAAAAAGCAGAATCCCACTTGCAAACCTCAATCTTTAAAAACAACTGAGAAGAAGAAAAAATATATATAAAAAACAATGTCATCACGACCTCGCGCACACCAAAGGACACAGCCCCCAGGAAGAATGATAAAAACACATAGACGGGCCCCACGCCGCTGGGGCGTAAGAAAACAAAAAAACCAACAACGCAACCCCAACGAACCTGCCGGCACAGCCCAAGCACGAGGGAAGGAAAAGACCATGGGACCCCCTAGCTTTCCAAGGGTGGTCACGCGGAAACGACCGCAAGAAAGAAAAAAAAAAGCGGGAAAGTGAAACCCCAGCCCGTCTGGGACCCAGTCGAGTAAATATTTTTTTGGCGGGGCCGGCGCGGTGTCCATGTCGGACGTTTTGTTTTTCTTTTGTTTTTCTTTTCTTTTGTTTTCATAAACGAATCAGTAAAAAAAGAAAAAACATATAGAAAGCGCTTAACATAGGAATACAAAAAATGTTCATTTATATATTTTTTTTTCGGTTTTCCATTCCCATTCCAAAACCTCAAGGAGATTGGAAAATCAATTTCTTCGGGAAAAAACGTACGACGGGCGGGGATCGAACCCGCGATCTCTCGCGTGTGAGGCGAATGTCCTAACCACTAGACGACCATCGCTACGACGCACACTCCAATAATAATTTTAATTATCTTCATCATAAAAAAGAAAAAAAAAGAAATTTTAAAAAATCTTCTCTTTCTTCTTCTTTTCCCGATGAGATTCCATCGGGAAGATAGTTCAGTGGCAGAACATCAGATTGTGGCTCTGAATACCCGGGTTCGATTCCCGGTCTTCCCTTGCTTTTTTCATTTTCAGAGTGAGTTGTGTATTTGTCTCCGTTTTCTTTTTTCTTTTTACATCTTATAAATGTTAACATTCGGATAACATCCTCCGATATGGTATAACGGTTAGAACACCTGGCTTTCACCCAGGAGATCCGGGTTCGATTCCCGGTATCGGAACTTTTCGCACACACTCTCTCTCTCTTTCTCTTCGTACTTCATTTACGATCTGTTTGTAATTCCCTTTTTTTTCTTTGAGTTATATTATTTTAGCTATTTCTCCCGTAGCCGCTATAGCTCAGTTGGGAGAGCGTCAGACTGAAGATCTGAAGGTCCCTGGTTCGATCCCGGGTGGCGGCATGCCTTTTCCTTGTCAATTTCAATTTTACCGCAAGTGTTTTTTCCCCTATACGTTCTTATTCTTTTGGAAAAATCCCAACACTTCTCTTAGAATCGAAAGGGAAACCCATACCCCAAAAATAAATAATGTTTGAAATTTCTTCGCCAAGAAAAAAAAAAAAAAAACAATCCTTGTTTCCCAGAACTTCGGGAAACGGGAGGTAAATAAGAAAAAGATTTTTTGCGCGTTCTGGCGCAAAGACTCGGAAAGGGGAACTTTTCCCCCCTTTAGTTTTTCCGCAAACTACTTGCTTGAAAAAAAACAGTTTCCGGTCAGAGCCCTAGGGTCTTGCGAACCTTCCTTTGGCAAAAGGAAACCCCGGAGAGAAACCCCTTTCGTTGGGGCCTGAAAAAACGCCATCGGCGGATCCAGCCAAAAAAGGAGGGGCCGCTAAAATTAAGGTTGGCTCCCGCGGGGCTGACGCCCAACCGGCCCCCCCCCCGCGAAGAAAAGCGGACGCGTTTCGACAAGAACCGGGGGGTTCGCAAGGGCCCGCCCCGCCAGGAGAACAGGCGCGACGGAAACAAATCATAACGAGAAGAAAAATAAACACAAACCACCCTTTTTTTTTTCGTCGAAATTCATTTCAACCACCACACATGCCATGGAAAAGCAATATAAATATTAATCATCACAACTCGGCAAACGGCAATGCCAAACGCACACCCTACCGTTCAAACCAAAAAAAAAAAGGGAGGGATATTCACCTAACAAAAATAAATAACAACTCCATCAAAACATTTGAAGTGTAGGTGCGGCAATAAGCACACAGAGAAAAAAAAAAAAAAAAAACAAGAAAGTGTTCCCCTTGCCACTCGAAAACCCGCAAAAAGTAAAAAGAAAGAAAATAACGGGGTTCAACCACATTTTTATAGCAATCCGATTCCACTCGACTACTTCTCATCTCTTACCCTATCATTTGCTTAATAATTTATGGCATCTTTGCCACCCCTTAAGAGATGGCAAAACCACATTCAATCCCAAACAAATAAAATCAAATTAAATCAATCAGCTTTTTATTCGGCCATTCATGAAAACTAGTCCAAACAGGTCCAGAATCCATACCAAAATAAATAACCACAAGATCCGTGCAGAACGTTAAACCAGGGTTCAGAGAGAACACCAAAACCACAACTACCGGCAGCACATTAACACTGTCATCCTTTTCTACAATACTTAATAAAATGGTAAAGAAACAAAAG